AGCAGCACATCTGTCACGGGGATCATAATCTGTCCAGAGTTTTTAAAAGATACGACTGGAGATACAAGCGAACATTTGTCAAACTGTCACATAGTGACAGAGGAAATAAATTCAATTGCAATAGGCTTGCACTTCGTTTTGAGGCCTGTATTTCCATTTCATGCCTTACAAATAGTAAAATAAATAGGTTTATAATGTACAGTACCAATCAAAAGTTTAGACATACCTTTGGACTGCATTGCATTGTTACAATGTAAAGTACTAAATAGGATACAAAGTAGTTAAAAGGGGTTTCACCTTCATCAGCTTCTGCGTGAATATTATGTCAGCATATAGAAAACGCATGCGTGTAATACTCTCGAAGGCAGAACTTGTCGTCATAATGAGACAAACGTTGCTGAGAACTTGCATTCTTTTGCTTAAGAAATACTTGAAAGGCTTTTTAAAAACATTTGTATTGTGTCTTTCACTTAAATATGTACTTATATTTTATCCACTTTAATGGAACGGGAACAAGCTCAAAACCGAGGAACAAAAGATTAAAAAACTGTTTTAAAGATCTGAACATGAGCCCTGATCAGCTGCTTTTATGAGCTGTTGTTCTGCTCAACTCAATTTTTTCAGTCCAAATACTTAAATCCCAAATGGACCCTGGCACTGCACCGGTTCCCCGACTTGTTTTCCCCAGAATAATATGGCTAATGAAAATCCAAGCACTCGACAGATTGCGTGCACGTATGTCTTATCCTAGAAAGCCACAAACACCCGGTCATAACAGCAGCGTTATTCCAACAGCTACCACACCTCCACACATCTTGAGGCCTCCACGTCCTCATTTGAACGTCTGGCAAAGACGTTTTAGATCCCAGATACGGACCGACGGGCCGACGCCTCCACCGCTGCTGCTTTCTGCAGGCTGCGTTTGACCTCGGTGGCATGCATGTGATGGTAAGCACACACCACCTGTACGTCTAAATGTCAGAGTGAGGCAAAGACACGGAGAGGAACAACGATGACGTGGGTGTTCAGAGTTGACTGTGAAGCCTTCTTAAATAAGACTGTTGGAGTCTTTAGTGCCTTTTCTCACTGTTCATTTTTTTTTCCTCCCTTTATCTTTCTTACTATTAGGTCAAAGGTCAGTCAGAGAAGGAAGCAGTGGCTTCATCAATCATGCATTCAGACGGAGGCTGTTTTTCTCACGTGCTCTCAGGGTGCAACAGGCTGTTGTTGATGCTCACGTGTAACACGAGGAGTGAACTCTGCTGAACGCCAGCATGCGGGCTGATCTCTGTTAGATAAAAGCCTTTTATCCGATCTTGTCGCCTCTTTTCATACCAGATTCGTAAAAAAGATGTCAGGCAGTGGTTACTTTCTCCGTATCGCTGTCTCCATTTCCAGTGCCAGCACGCTTTCCCTCTTGCATGTCGAGTCAGTGAATAGCTGGCAAGGATCATCATGTGGATTGGTGTCAGTTTTCACATTTTACTTTGCCATTTAACGCTCTCTTGGCAAAAGCCACAGTAATTCTTTAAAGCATGTAGACCTCAAGAGCTGCGAAGGGAAAAAACGCGTGCAGTCCTCTGTGTATAGGATCCGAGTCAGTCTCCACATTACATTCATTACTTTTTCCGCTATAGATGTATTCTAAGCCCTTTGCGAGGTTCGTTCAAACTGAATTGGAAAAGGTGAGATGTTTGAGCCTACAGAATACAAAGAGGAGCCACAACTCATAACTCAAACAGTCCTGCTTTCTTGTTCCAACACTGGGCTCCTTCTTCGAACCTCGAGATGCAATCCAGCCCAAAACCTTCATGTCTGCAACAGTCATTTTTTAAGGAAAAATGCATCAAACATGGTTGGAAATATTTTAGAAAATGAAATGAAGCTAAATGGCCCAAATGTAGCAGAAAACTCATCTCTACTCAATGTCCATGTTTTTCATACAGCTTGGTTATAATCAACACTTTGAAATAACAATTCACATAATATGTCTGTTTCTTCAGCATCTCCGAGAGTTCACTCTCAAACTCTGATGTTGAAGCCAAGAATTCAGGCAGGCAACAGGAAAGAGGTCTGGGAATATGGGAGGAACGTTCAGAAATGCAGCCCAAATTGGCGTCAGTTAGGATTTTCCTCATTTATTCCACTTATGGTGTGAAAACTATTTGATGTTAGGTGGCCAGTGGCCTTTCTGTGTGGAGTCTGCATGTTCTCCCCGTGTCTGCATGGGTTCCCCCAGACCCTGTGTGCAGGATAAACGGTTTGCAGATGGATGGATGGATGGAACTCATCCTTCAAGACTCCTGTGAGAGAGCAGTGTGAAGAGCGGTGGTACCCTCTGCTGGACGTAACAGAACCCGACCATGGTAATAAAAACGTCCTCCAGAACAGCAGAGGAGAAAGTATGTACACAATAATTAGAATAATAAGAACTGATTATGCCCAATGAACGCATTTTGAATGATTTTTGGATTAGAATTTCTTGTTAATGTTTGTGATAGTAATAACAATAATTGTGGGTATTTTTCCCCTATTTGCCTAAGCACAGTGTAAAAATAAGACAAGGAGAGAAAGGGGTATCACAAGCAACAAATCCCAAGTCAGGAATTAACGGGTTGAGGCCACCTGTGCTGTAACCATCTCCAGGTGGAGTTCATGCTCATTACTTTATATATTGCTGAGAAGGAAATTATCAAATGGGAAATGGAAACTCAAACAGGTTTAGAGGTTTTTAAATAGTAAATGAAAGTTTGTTGATGGTTTGTGCAACTAACTAAAAAAAGTTAAAAGTGACAAAAAACAGAAAATACATCTTTTAAAATCTAAAATGGGGTGGAGTGGATGTATAAACCAGACTCAAATGTGAAATAAAGTACCTAGTCGGGCATTTACGTTGTTTTTTAGATAAAATGTTTTGATATCCAAGGTATGCATTAAAAGTCATCCATCCATCCGCAGAATACATACACACATATGTATATAAATACACACACACACACACACACATAATGCAGCCAAATAATATATAACAATAGAGGTTCCAGTTATGGTTTTCCAAATGTAATCCCAGTCCAATGATACGTCATCCGGCAAGTGTTCGAGGGGTGCGGGGGAGTAATCCCATTTCAAAACAATCATAGCCGTAGGATTTGTATAAAGTAGTTGAAACAATTCAATGAAATTTGTCCAATATTTACCACAAATAATTGGATTCAAACCTACATTCTTTAGCGTATACAAGCTGAGGACAGCACTTGGGAGCGCGATATCCTTGTAGCCTGGATTGTGTGCAAAAGGCAGCACATATTGGATTAATCGGGACTTAATAAAGCTTGTCTGCTCATACAAGATTCACAAATTCATGATAAAATGCAGGCAAAGACTTAAATCGCAGTAGAAAGAATGTGGTTACATGGTGGAAGATCTTTGCCAGGTTTAGGGGACATCGATAAAGCTAAATTAATTTCTTCTAAAAAGCTATTTTTTTCAATAGAAGAGCAAAACATTTAGAATCTAAAAGATCTGCCCCAGAGTTGATTTACCCTGAGATGGGAAACTCTGAGTTTTGGGTTTAAGAACAGCTGTTTAGACTTGGTTCAATCACCTCGGAGCAGGTTCACTCAGAGTTGAGCGCATGCACCATCAGTGTGAAGGCAGCATGAATGGAGCCATGATTTACCATGGCAACCACCACAAACAATATATTCACCCCTATTGAGCTGGAAATATTAATGCAAGCGTACGACGAGTATGAACCCGTAATTAGAAAGAAAAGCAACAACCCTACTGCAGCAAAAGAGAAACGGCGTAAGTTCCAATATAGTGTTGTCAGTTAATATTTAATTTACACACTAATCAAAATCCATACATTTGACTAATTCCCAGTGGGAAAATTGCATTTTTATACTGTTAGTAGTGCTCATATATAGAATCTTGTTTGTAAAAACTGGTTCAATGGGAATGAACCTATGTGTTTTATTCAGGTGCATCCTGTGGATCTCCTCTTGAAAGGCTCTCACTGGTTTGTGTCAAACACGTTTAAAAGACGTTTCAGAGCGAGGCACACGTTTCTCACGGCTCTGCATACAGCAGCTTGACTAATATTCTAATGTTTAAGGAAACTGCAGTTTGCAGAAAAAAGTAATACACTACACAAAGGATGTGCTCGTATGTGAGAGCATGTCCACGATGGGGGACATTAGTTATAAGAGGACAGGTGAGGCGATGTACATATGTGATGGACTGTGAAGAAAAAACGATACCCCTCAAACAAGTAGTTATCTGGAAATAGCAATATATCTAATAGAGGCCTCAATATTCTCCCCTGACGTGTTTTACACCCTGCGAAGTAAAAGCTTTTCTTCATCAACAGGATCGCCCAGAAAAGGACGTGACATGTTCAAGAAAACACTTTAGTCTTTAACGTAACATCTTATTTTGTGCATATGTGGAAACTGCGTTAAAATCCGCCTGATACAGAATACTTGAATGAATGAGGAAATGAAAGCGCGCTGTGTGGTTGGCTGGGCTGCTGTCAAGAGGGAGGAGACTGAAAGAAACTCTTGTTTATTGGAGAAAACCTGCTCCCGACCAGGTTATGTTCACAGGCGGTTACCATGGTGACTGAACCTGAGCTTTAGTTAACTCCCTTTGTGAAACAGACAAGCCAGAGTTTCCCTCATCTCAGGGTTAACAAACTCTTGAGTTTCCACTAAACCCGCTTCTTGAAACGGACCCCAGCACTTGCTTAAATAGTTAATGCTCAAAACTAAACTAGATCATAATAAACTCATCACTTTATTTTGAAGGCATTTTAAAGGTTTTGGGACTCTTGAAAAGTGGATGAAATTGTCCATTTACACTGACTATACCTTGAATATGCCGTAAAAATCTATAATTACGAGAGAAGATTGTGCAAGACATATCAGCTGCAACCTGAAAAATCAATTACTCTTTGTAAAAAAAGAACGGAAACTAATACACAGACAGAACACAGGATATTCACTCATCTTAATAGCCAAATTTATTTCAATGCATCTGATCAAGTGAGACTGAAGGCCATTCCAAATGGAATCTTCTGCTCCACCTCAACGTCAGCAGGCACTGTGAAGAGAAGACATCATTAATCTCAACCCAAAACAAAATGTGCCTTTATAGAACAGAAAAAGCAGGATTCTAAATCCAGGTAATAGAGAAAAATCTAATTTGTAATATATATATATTTTAAACTACTCAGCCAGCTGTCGACTGCATTCCCCCGGTGTACCAGGAGGAAATGAGAGAATAGAGGGAGTCCTGATGACCGGAGCTAAACCCACGAGAATAAATGCACATCAAACTAGTTGACTGAATTCAATTTGGATTTTTGTCAAACTACTCATTTTGTGTTTTTGGAGGCAGGGGGGGCAACACAAATAAAGAGCCTGGAGCCACAAGAAGCTCGCTTCATTGTCTATTTGGTTGAACCCATTTGCCAGTGGTACGCAATCCCATATCAGATCAGAGTTAAAGTGGGTGGAAAATACACTTACGAAGAAATAAACCCCATTACGTAACACTACACAGGTCATAAGGCCCTGGAATAATCCTCCATTTGAGAAGATTAGTGTTGAGTTTTGTAGCAGCTGTGTCAACTATGGATTAAATTCTTGAGAGCAAACTGGTGTTACTGTACTACAATTGAATGAAAATAGGTTATTTTAAGTTGTCCACACCTGTAACATACAGAAGACCGGATATTAGGAAACATATGTAATGAAAAACACTAATTTAAGTCACAAATTGAAACTTTCCATTGAAAACACCTTTTAGCAGCAGTGCAATGCTGAATCGATGGCGTGCTGGTCACTGACCATGATGCACTGCCACGTTGTCATGCGATGCAACAAACTACTCCCATCTCCTATTGCTTTGCGCGTTTCACAAGACGAGTGCCAACCAAACTACCAGTTTGAACGGATCTTCAAGCCGCCCGTCTCTAAGATGACTGACCGTTCGGGTGAAACCATTTTCAGTGAGACGTGTGGCTGAATTTGTGCTCCCTCACCTATCGCAGCCTCCTGGCTTCTCTTTCAGACTCCAGAAGTGTCAGCACATCTCCTTCTCTGACTGGGCCCTTCACGTTCCTGATGATGGAGCGGTTGCTGTCGTCCATGAACTCAACACGGACCTGCGAGACAATCAGATGGAAAGACAGTTAGAATATAATACGTTAAGTTAATGTGTTATTAAACAACATCACAGTCATTGGGCCATTGTCTTAATTACACAGTAACAATTGACAAGTTATTTTAAATTAAACAAATAAAGTGTGCTATCAAGAGTTAAACTGAAATACTAATTGTTCAGCTAACGTTAGTTAGCAGAACTATTTTAACGAACCACTTTAAACAGTTCAATCCACAACGGGATCATTGTCTTTCGTGGAGGCTTAACGAAGAACGTGCAGACATGACTTGAAGAAACGTTTAACTAACGTAATTAAAAAGATTCTCCGGAACTACTGTAATGTTTCAATGCGGAAGTAACGTTTATAACATTACATTCAGGGATTCTCTCTGAATAGTAAAATGAACAAAATGCTAACTTTTCGACATCATGTGAACGTTTACCTGTGTGCATTGTCCCTGGGAACCAGTTCTTCCGAGCACCTTGGTGACCTGAAAAAGGAGACGTTACATTGAGGAAGGAAGCTTTTCAAGTAAACCATTCGTTGATGTGAACTGAATTAACTTTGAATAATCCACAACAGGCTAATAGCGAACAAGCTAGCAGCTAGTAGCATGGACGGGCCTCCATGGCGAGTGCACGAGCGCCGACGTGCCGTCCCCTATAAACTATCTATAAAAGTACATCTAGCTTCACAGTTCTGGCACCGAATGAAACATTAGCTGCTTATGTAGCCATTGATCCGTTTGCATACGACTATTTTGATCGTATTGGTTATTTTCTTACTCTGGCGAGCTTGATCGGCTGCACGCGGCTGGCATCCATGTTGTCAGGTTAGACCGGAAAGGAAGTCACGTGGTGCACAGCGGGGATATATAGGAACTGTAATTTAAAAAAAAGGGAAACATTACAATTTTATATAAACTGGAGTTACACTTGAAAACAACTGGTCGAATAGAATACTAAAAACAATACCTAAAATTATTATTTATTATTTATATTTAATTTAAGAATCCCATTTCCTTTTCCGGAGATTGGCCAGTACCATTCACACAAACTGTCAAGGGTAGAAACACGGGCCATACCACCGCACACATGTTTTTTTAAATTATATCATTCATATTTACTTTGTATGAATTAATAAAATTACCTGTCACTGTTAGCTTAACCCAATTTGAAAATGTGTTGGATATTGAATATAAAATATACAAAACAATCTATATTTTCGGGTTATGAGATAATTCTGCAACAAACAGAGTTTGTCAACGTGCAGGACATATGGCAGACTACATGTAGATTGCACTATTATTTGGCAATGGGAACTTTCAATTCAACTTTCAATTTTGCTTCTCAGCGATTGATACAGTGCGAGGTGCCATAAAACAGCTTACATGTTTTTCTGGCACATTCACATACAGGTCATGTTTTATATAACAGGACATAATCTTGGCGTTCTGAAGCTGGAGGGAGACAATGCATCTACTGGCAGCATTGATTCAAACGTCATGTGTCAAAGCTCTAGTATTGGAACTTCATCATCACAACACTCTCTCCCCTCCCTCCCCTTTCCCAGAACTCAAAGCCTTAAATCACAACACTAATCCTTGAGAGCAGTATTTTTAACTTCCGTTTGGATAGAATGAACAGCAATAGGATTACAGAATCAGTAAAGAGGATGAATCCCTAACCCATGCAGTTGATCTTCTTGCACGCTGAGAGACATGCAAGGTAGCTTTTACTTGAACTTAATTTCAACCCAAAAAGCATTCGTTCCGGAGGAGAAAATTCTGCCTAAATGGAGATCTGTTTTTCACTGACTTGATTGGCACAACACTATCGTTGCTTTGTCTTCTGAAAAATTGTCACAATGGAAATTTCAAAGCCTGCTTTGAAAGTACTGAAAAAACGTCGCTCCAGTCTTTTTGCGACCATCAAACGGGAGGTAAGTTTTTCAACGAGCCTCGAAGACCAAGAATGTGAATTCCCCTTTTCCCAGGACAGCTCTGTGAAGCCATGGACATCTATGGACAACCTGGACGCTCCTGATGGGAAAATTAGGCCAAAGAAAACTCCAAAAGAATCAGTACCAAACCCAAGGAGGTCAAACATTGTCAACCTAAACGTAGGTGGAAAGGTTTTTCACATCCCGAAGCACTTGGTTCTCAAACACCCGAAAACCAGGATTGGAGTTCTTGCCCTCTGTGATGATCCGGTCAAGCGTCTGACTCTCTGTGACGATTACAACGTTCGGAACGACGAGTTCTTTTTTGACAGGGATCCCATGTTTTTCCACTACATCTTCCACTTTTATTGCAGTAACGTGCTGTGGGTGATGGACAGTCTCTGCCCGGTCAACTTTGAGCAAGAGATGTCATTCTGGGGGTTGAAACTGAAGGACACTCCAAGGTGTGTTGTAGGTACTTAATACTCCCTAAATGCATCGTGTAGCTTTGTCTGTTGCTGTTTTTATATTTCCAACAGTATTCACTCTTGTAAAAATAGACAATAAATGATACTGTTCTTCTCAGGTGCTGCCGCATTCTGTTTGAGGAGAAAGTGGATGACATCAGGGACCAACTGAAGGTGAACCAAGAGTTGATTGACGAGATCAAGCCTCACCAAGATGACGAGGGATACAAAGCCATGTTTCTTGGAGGTCTTCGAAAGATCCTCTGGGACTTGATGGAGAATCCTTACTCCTCGCTGTCAGCCAAAGCCTTCGCTGTGTTCTCCAGTCTCTTTGTGCTCATCTCTATTGTTGCAATGACAATGAACACGGTAAACGAACTCAGGCAGTACAAACTTGCTGGAAAAACCTACATGGAGTGGATAGAGATATCCTCCATCCTCTTCTTCACCCTGGAGTACTTTTTGCGGTTACTTACAACGTCCAACATCAAACATTTTGTGAAGAGCGCCCTCAACTTTGTTGATGTGGTGGCTGTGATGCCCTACTTCCTCCAGATCATTTTCGAGACCTTTGTCATGGATTCAGAAGACGTCAGTGCAAAGGAAGATTTGAAGACCATGGCACGAGTCAGTAAAATCAGCAAGGTGCTGAAAGTCGTCAAGTTAATGCGCATCTTCCGTATCTTGAAGCTGGCTCGTCACTCCACAGGCATGCGGGCGTTTGGTTTTACCATTCGACAGTGCTCTGAGCAGGTATGGATTTGTATACAAAACTCGCAGTACGCACACAGAATTGTCAACCATTTTTGTCTTTTGGGTTGCTGTTTTTGTTTTTCTGTCCTTCTGTTGTTTTGAGTTGTTTTATCTGTTTTGGGCTGTGCTTAATCCGTCCAAAAGCAAACTGCCAACAGGGAAACTAAAGTGCTAGCTGGTGAACAAAGTGGAGAATGTAGTGGCTAAAGAGGAAAATATTTCCTTCCGGAGGGTTGTTAAAGACCAAAACGTGAAGTGAATATTGGACTGATATTTGTTAGCTGTTCATAAATACGAGCCCTAATATATTCTACTGTTTTTCCGTCGCTTACAAGCTAAGATGAAAGTGCCAATGTTGTGTTTTAAGCTTTTTTCCCCCTTTTACAGAAGTGACACGTGTGTAATTTCTATAAACCTCTCCTGTATTTATATAGGAAATCTGTAGGCAGGGGGACTGCGATTCGGGTTTTGGAAGCGTTATGGTTTCTGTGTGTATTTGAGTTTGTAGTCGTATTGACAAATCACATTTGAGCAGGCTTTGATTTAATTCAGGCAAACAGTCCCTGTGAGCAAAAGACGCAAAACAAATTGGGCGAAATACAATCTTGGAACCCAGCGGCTATTGTCTGACACAAACTTTATCCAAACAACTATATGTGCCATTCTAATCCTACTTGATCTTGGTAACTTCTGCTCTGCTCTCTGACTTTCAAATATTAATTTGACTTATACAACCAGAGGAGTCAATTGAGATCCAGGTCTCATTTACAATCAAGACCTAAAAAAGGCCAAACCAGCAGGCCAGTTATTACCAACAGTTAGTAAATATATAGAAACATCTCTTACAAAAATAAAAATCATAATAATATATTAAAAACAAACAAACAGTGTTGTGGAGAAGCAAACAAGCAAATACGAACGGGCGCCGTTATTGACGTATTGTTTTGTGTCGTTATTTAGGTCTGCTGTTTGTTTCTGTTCATTGCCATGGGCATCTTCACCTTCTCTGCTCTGATGTACTCTGTGGAGATGGATCAGCCCGGGACCCCATTCAGCAGCATTCCAGATGCCTGGTGGTGGGCGGCGGTGAGTACGATAAACTTCAACGTCCAAATCGATAAAATGTTTGGTTCTGGAGGTTTTCCACCTGATGCATTAGAATTTGGGGAGCAGGATTTTAGTAGCTTTTTTACGGCTGCCTCTTAGACTCGGATCAATTAACCTGGTTCTGAACCTTGGTAAGCTCTTCCACTTGTGCTGTGCTGTGCTGAAGAGGTCAAAGAAGAGCTCGGTCATGGCTGTCAGTAAGGATTATGCGTAATGTTTTTTTGGTCCCTGCCAAGTCAGAAAAGACGAAAGTTCAGCTGAACAGAAGCATATTGTGAGCTCTTATTGTGGCTCCACCGATCAATAAACCAGCTTCACTGGCAGCAGATTTCATGCAACTACAGAAAGATGGTAACCAAATCGGTTTTAGCCTCTCAAGCTGTGGCACACTGTTTCTTGACATTACACATACTGTTCAATCCGTACTCAATTTGGATATACCACTTTATCCAACATGGACCCTCTTGGTCAAACCTCCAGTGTGCAGAGAATAGCCAGATTATCGTGCTTGATCGTACACTGCAAAATGAGACCAGATGGGAGCATTTCTCCATTTGACATACTGTGTATTGATATATAATAAGTCTTTCTCCGGCATGTTCTATTATATGGTACTACGGGTATTGGAACGCTCAACGGTCCTTCCCTTTGTGTAATTATGCACCTTCCGAACATCAGTTTTACTTTTGAGCAGATTTTTGGCAAAGCATTTAATTTGATTGGATGTTTCCATCCTCTTCCCCTGCATGCACTCTGCCAAGATGTAACAGAGTGTAACTCACTGTAAAACAACTATTTGTTGTTTCTAAATGTCTGTTTGTGCATGCAGTCAACAAACAAGACATACCATTCTACTTAGTGGCTGTAGAGGTGCTGGAGGGCCGGTTCTAAACATTTTGTTCAGGGCTGGATGTTGTGAATGAACGTTTTTTGGAAACTATTACACTACTTAAAAAAAATAGGGGGTGATTAAAAGGTTGGAGACACTCATTGATTGTTATTTGGCGGTAGAACATGAGGTGCTTCTCACAGATCGGGATAGAAAACCAAGAGAATTAAAAAACAGTAATTGTCCAACTTTGATAACAAAAGATGTCTGTAATATTAGCAGGCTTTTATGTTAAAAATATAGGGCATGTCATATACCCCAGTGAAGTTGTTTGATTTCCATGATGTAATGAGGTGTTCTGACCTAAAATGTGCCATGGAGGTTTATCTGGACGTCATACTAAGACAAAGGACCAAATCCTTGTTTCTTTTGATAATATTAATCATGGAAATGGTGAGGAGACAACATACGACATTGGAGAAAGCTAATTCTGAATAGTAGAAAAGTCATATAGTCAATTCTAGCTAATAGAATGATGTCAGGCACACTTGGCAATTAACCATGTAATCATATGGTGCAGTATATTTCCCTGATTATCTATCTAGTATATAATAGACATTGTGCAGGAAGTCAAGCTTAAAGGATCCGTGACTTCTTTGGATTCTGTTTGTATTTTTTCTCACACTGCCAGCTATGATGAGAACCCTAAACCTCAAACTGTGCTTACTTTTAGGGTTCTTGTACATCATCAGTCTGGTTTTCTGAATTTCCTGCCCTCTCATTTAGGGACATGTGGATTTAATTTATCTGGTGGCAGCTGGTAACTTGTAAGTGTCTAATCTCCTCTAATACAGTGTCACGCAGGTCACAGTGAAGGCATTTGGGAGATGGAAAGTGTTGCAGAGCATTCTTGGAGGTTTATTTTATCCTCCTCTTTCTTAACTTTGCAACCGGGCAACAGATCTGTCCTGATTACTTTCAATTGTCAAACCCTCCGTGGCCGATTGGTTATTTTCAGGCAGAATGAAAGACACCACGATGATGAGCCCTTCATGTTAAATGTCAAATAACTAAAACAGCAGCGCAGGAAGATACAGCATGGTAGGCGTTTTCCTCCAGATTTTCTTATTTTAATAGTAGAGTAAAGCTAACTAGCTTTTGTCCCTTTCCTCCGACAGGTGAGCATCTCCACTGTGGGCTACGGAGACGTGGTCCCCATCTCCTACCTTGGCCGCTGTGTGGCGTTTTGCTGCATCTCTTTCGGCATCATCCTCAATGGGATGCCCATCTCCATCCTATTCAACAAGTTTTCGGACTATTATGCAAAACTGAAGGAACAGGAGTATACGTGCACAAACACCGAGCGCACCTTCCAGCTCAGGAAACGTCTGAGGCGCAAGTTTGACACGTGCTTTGAACCCAGGCTGGAGGAGTCTGACGACGAGACACACTATCGGCCCAGCGGCAGGCAAACTGTCCACGAGAACGAAGGTCTGGCCGCCCGCTAGTCGCAACCTTGCTGACACTAAATGGCCTTATCGTCCGAGGGTCTGGATTTTGTGGGACCCAATCTGCCTCCAGGTCTTAAGCCTTTGGGACTTAAGATAAACGATGTAAGGGAGGGTAACGGAGGCAGCAGCGAGTTGGGTAAAGCTTTAAGCTTCGGCTGTACAGTAGATGCTGTTTACGCGCTATTGGTAATGAGTCCTCTGTGAAATGGACGAGATGCTCCCATTAGACGGCTTCTCGTCCGTTTCCAAGAATAGTTCTCGGGCCGCATCAAATCCGGCTGTACTGAAATATATTTTTTGACACAAGGAGGTCAAGTAGTAACATTTTTAGAGAGCCAAAGTCACCAAAACATGAGTGTGATACTTCTGAAGAACTGTTCTCATTGGAAGTGCTATTAATTAACTACTTGGTCTCTTACATTGTATTAAAAAAGAAATCTTAACAAACCATTTCAAACCATTGGTGGATCATTTTCATTCCTGTTTTCTGACGTTATGAAATACAATGAGAATATATTACTTCCCCAGTGCAAAGCTCTCCCATGTGCGATGCTTCATATGGCGGCTGTGGGAGGAGGGGAGGTGCAGCAGGGTGACCACAGCAATCACGACCGTAGGTGTAATTCTGTTGTCAAGGATTACCGGGATTTGCTCTTGCGCCTCCTGCCTGGTAAGGCGAGGGCAAAAGTCAATCGTGTTCTTTACTATTTTGGTGGCAGAGTTAATCTGATTGAGCTTCTCATTGATGTATGGGAAATACATCTTATAAATCCTGCACCAAACCAGAGAACTATGCTACGCGAATGTGGAACCTAAACATGTTTGATGCGCCATAGTTGCTAATTACTTAATGCAGTTTTCTCTTGAAGAATGTTTTGGTGGAAGATCTTCTGACTCTTCTGAAGTGAGCTGCTTTGAGGGAACAAAATAACTTCTTTGTTTGGTCACTACGGACACCAGCCCCTCTGCTACACAACACCAGCTGGTTTACGCCACCTTTCCAACTGTACTGACTGAAGATGTGCTTTGTCTCGGGTTATGACGAAACAGCCTGTACCTCCTCTGATCACCCTCGATTCACAACGTCACATCCCCTTGAAGAATGGAACACTGACTCCACCTGTCTGGTGTATTATTACTTAATGTGAACAGGCGCGAATCATCAGAATAGCTTAACTAATGCTTCCTTGGTGCACGTTGTCCACTTGTGTGTCAAATGAGTTGTACAAAATCATTTGAGGGCTCAACGCTCTCGCAAACAAAAGGTCCTCGTAGAAAGACACAATATTTATGATATGTATTTCATTCTTAACTTATTTTTTGTATTTTTTTGCAGAGTTTTTTTATTTATAGACAATTACATACGAATCTTTTACTCAGTTGCAATAAAAAAGAAGTATTTACCAGGTTAAAATTCCATAAATGTGTGAGTATTTTATGGTTTGATCATTTTTCTTCGTTGAGGAAGAAATAAAAGAAAATATAACCCCGAAACCAACATCAGGTTGGATGACATAAAAATCACAGATATAATTCTACATTGGCCCACAGCATCACTTATAATAAGATCTGCCCAAAAATAAGTTCTGTTTGTCTTCTTAGCATTCTTGTATCGTCACAACTATTATCATGACCATCCACACTCAAGTTGAAGTCCGTTGGCATTAGCAGATACTTGGCTCATTCGTCTCAGAGACGATGCGGCCTGTCTAATAGTATTACAGGATAAGGTAACAGGAAATATGCCAGGGCTCGAATAGTGTCGTCAGCATCAAATAAAACTAAAGACTTCTGAGAGATTTTGTCTGTCTCCTGTGACTCAGCCAAGACTGAAAGGACCTAAATAGATGCAGGCCAAAGGGACACCAGCCAAAGGACTGATGCAAACGGACAGACAGACCAATGGAGATGTACAGTATGCACACATTGTGGAACAGATAAAGATCAAAAACCTCTGAACTCTTTACAATCTGTACACATACAACATACCAGGATGGACAAAAGTGCAACAGAGTGTAAAGTACATGACAGAGTCACAACACATTCAATGCACATCATATAAATTATCCATATAATGAAAGTACAAAAACAAAATAACTACGCAAAATTACGACAACTAATGATGGCAATAGCTGTGGATATAGTGGAATGATAATAACAATAAAAAAGTAATGGTATCCATGAAGATTAAAAAGGAAATAAATCATAGGTTTTCGATTCACTATCCTCTGTATTTACCACTGACGTCCAATAACGGACGTCATCATGATGCCAAGCTTTGCCAGAAGTACGTTTATGACATTAAAGTGCCACCTTTAATTTATTTCATCAGTGCTGGAATGTTGAAACAGTTCTGTTTGGCTGTTTATGCAACTACAGTGCGGCCTGCGGTGACCATGTGTGTGAATAGTTGCGTCACATGTCCTTGCCAGTCACACTATGTTCTAATTAGCTCCCATCCCTCTAGATGTGTCGAGATAGGGTGCAAAAGTAACTCATACTGAAGGGAAATAGTTCATGTGTGGATTATGGGACAATGGAAACTTTGGCACGGATATGCAAGAAGGAACCATCAATTGAGTTAAATTAAATTTAAAAAAAAGTAAAAGCCCAAAATCAAAATTTAGGAATTTGCCTCAAAGGGCTTTACAATATGCACATATGGTCCTACACGGGAGGGAGACACACAAGCCTCGTAGTTTATTACCGTTTTCTCGTTGACGTGTCTCTTTTGTAGTTGTTATGCATGTATCTATTGTAGTGTCTCTCAAAATTGGTCATTTTAAGTCTCTTTCAGGTTGATTTGCCTTTCATTTCTTTCGAGTCTTTTCTCCAAGAGAGACATTTAGTAAGTGAAAGCTTGGGGGGCCTCTAACCCTTTCATCCAATCTGTGCACTGTAAAAACAAGTTTGCAGAATTTCAATGGAATGACATTCAGATTTCCTGAACCACATTAAAGTCTGTAAGCATTGAGTCGATAGCATTATTATTATTATATTATTATTATTATTATCTACTTTTGTCAAATAATAACCACATTCAGACATCTTTTAACCCAAACATCTGTACAATGTTTTATGAGTCTGATTCTCAAAATGTCTCGCTGAATACCTCCGACGTTATTCTGACATAGATCATTGTCAGACTAAGTTTTTTTTTTTATCTCAATGAGATTTTAAGCCTTGAGAGGGCTTTGCATGGCTTACGTTGAGCTCTAGATCAGGACATGCTTTTCCTTTACCAAGGCTGAGCACATATCTTCAAAGATTGTGGCCTCAGCATTTTCGAAACCATCACGCCGGGAAACTCACATTGACTATATAAACCCCTTCTAGCTCGTCGCATAAGTCAGCGCACATCCCCATTGCTCCCTGAACGCCCAACCGTCAACTCCGAGGAGCAATAACAATCGCACAATGTCTGCCAAGGGTTTGGTGTCTCTGGTGGTGGTGCTGGTGACTGCAGTGTGTGTGGTTCACGCACAGGAGAGGATTCAGATGTGCGGGAGAGAGCTGATACGACTGGCTGTGTCGTCCTGTGGTAACTCTCGGCTGAGGAGAAGTATCCCGGACTTGGAGCCCGGGCAGCATCAATACACCCCGCGTTGTAAGTACTTTGTGTCCCCTTTGTGTGAATATTAGGTACATTGTTTGAGATTTGTTGCCTTGGATCAATTCATGCGTAGACGCGATGTGTTCTAGCTGAATGTCTGACCTCTCATCCAGGAAAACATACATGTTTTTGAATTGTTAATTTAACAAATACAATGTTTTACTGGAGTTAACTCCGAATCAATCTGTTTGTCCTCTTTAGAGTTTCACAAGGCATCTCTTGCAAAATACTATCCATTTCCAGGCCTAAATCCCAGGTGTCTTTTCACAGGGTACGAGTATCCCTCTGAAGAGGAGCTCCAGACTACCGCCGTGGTCCAAAATCCTCTCCAAACTGCTCCGGAGAAGGATGTCTTCTCCTTGTACCCACTGTCCCCTCGGGTTAGACGAGCAGTTGGAAAAATATCTGACATTTGCTGTGAGAAAGGATGCAGCATGAAGGAGTTGATCCAGTTTTGTTAGATGTGGCCACCTGCTTGTAATTGCAATAACTACATCATCTTAACATGCGCTGCGAGGAAGCTTTTACCAAGTGGCCTTATCCTTGACAAGAATGATTTAAAATATTCACAATTATGTATAATACTACACATCAGTAATTATAGATTACATTTGATTATATATTATGAATTATCTTCTATGCCCTACTGTAGGGCAAAATGATTGCATCTTATACAATACAAAGAAAATCAAATATTGTTTATTTTGTGTTAATAAAAAGTTTGCCGCCCTGAGCGAACAGTAAAATAAAGCTTTTGGTGATTCTTTATCAGAGTTCATTTGTTCATTTATTCCTCAGCGCTTTTCTGATGTGTTTCCACCCTAATTAATGCAAAGCAAAACTATCGATACAAAGTCCAAACATTGCAACCCAAAGTCTTTACTAACTCTTTATTATGGAAAAAGTAAAGGCCGGGCGACTGCAAGACACTTACAAATAATGGTTAAGCTCTAAATACAGCGAATCATGCGTCTTCCTCAATGCAACTCAATAGTCTAGTAAAATTCTTAAAATGTGACATTCCAATATTTCTTCAACCCCATTCATATTTCCACAAGGCTCTCACCATATTGGATAAGTCAGTGGCGTTTGTGCCTTGAAAATAAATGTATGCAAGATAATGATTACTCCACACTTAAATCAGGATTTATCTAAATGACCCGTATAATAATTTCTGGTAAGGTTGTTCAATACAACCAGTATAAAAAAAATAAAATATTTATAAAAATTAAGTTGCAAATGAATCAATTCAGCTGGACTGCACGTGTTGACTGATAAAGGAACATGGACACATGCATAAATGGCCGAACCATTTAGCTCCAAATTGACATAAATAATCTCTGTAAGCCGGCTAGTTGCTCACTCTGAGGGGCGTATAATTCTCTCAATGGATAATAAATTGTGTTGCTGATGATGTGTTACTCTATTCTGCATCCATCACAAAATTAAGCTTAATAGCAAATTGAATCAGCCACAGTGACTGATTGGTTAATTGGTTTTATTTTGCGTTTGCGGTTTAAGGATTGCGTTGTACATACAATTGTTCTTTTTGTAATTGGTTTTAGTTTTGTTATCAGACAAAACACCCCAAGACGAATTTGTACACAGATGATTTAGCGTGTATGGGGTTTTAATTGCGGATATTGGGACAACACACTTGTTACAACAATTTGCTGCATCTAGCAAACTGCTTCTGGGCATTGATTGATTGAACTGTCATAAACAATTATAATATTCATAAACGAGTTGGCCCTTGACCCTGCATTAAATTATTTGTATGACATTTGAGGACATCTAAGAGATATGACATTTGATCAGTTTCATTAATGACAAAACATAGGGTTAGGTTTTATATATATATATATATATATATATATATATATATATATATATATATATATGTGTGTAAATAAATGAAAGTATACATTAGACCATATAAATATGTTATCCTAATTAAAGGAAAGGGGGAAATTGTGTTTATGTCAATGTCAATTATGTCAATTGTGTTTATGTCAATGTGTATATCTAATGATATATAGTGTTATGTGTATATCTAATGATATACACATTATTTAAGATATATAAAGAAACAAGTTGGTAACAACAAAATAATGATTTGTAAATCTTGCTTGTGAAATTGAGAATTTCTTGTCGGGAATCAAACCAAATCGAAAGCTATTTAAAAACATTTTACCCTCAACCAAACCCCCAAAATTAAACTGATTAAAAAATGTCTGTTAAATTTGAAGTGTCACCAAAAATATATATAACAAATGCATGCCATTTAACACAGCGTGCAAATAAGAGAGAGCTTTACGTGATTTAATGGAGAAATTGTATGCATTGCCTCCTGTTAACCAGCAGAGAGAGACAGATATCTGGTTTCAAACGTACTTTCTGCACCGCTTCTCCTCATCTGACATGTGACACCATCCATGAGCACGTTTGTTCCGCCAACTCTGGGGGGGGTTACTGCTAAACATCAATGTTAATGTATCAAGTTCCATCATTACAGCCACATTTCCCCTCCCGCTGTAATAGAAGGTCTCTCAAAGCTCATTATTGTATAATGCAAAATCACCTCAAGTGATCCTTTAAATCATTGTGACACCAGGAGAAATCTGATCAGAGGACACTTCAAGGCCTCAGTCCATCATTACCCAGAGCGGACCGGAGATGACAAACACCAGGCTGCACGGGGCCTCTTTGATGGCTCTTGTTTATGTCTCTTTTGCCAACTAAAAAGCTGCTAAACTGAATATGGAAGATGAAATCACAGCCTCTCTGTCTCTGCCTTTGCTTTGTGTCTACTTTCATTGAGCAGGAAAAGCAGCAGGACAAAAAAGCACCTTTACTGAGTGCCAGCACCACACACACACACACACACACACACACACACACACACACACACACACACACACACGCCAGGCAGGAGACTGTGTGTGTGATGTACGGGTGGGTGTCAATTTGCATGTAAATGAAATGGCTCTCATTGCTCTTTCTTTCAGTTAAAGTGTAAGAGCAAACGTGCTATGGTGTTTGTGTGTGTTTATGTCTTCATGTGTATACTCTGCATGCGTCCATGTATAGTGGTGGGGGGTTCAAGACCATGATTTTGACAACATTAAAATACAATTACAATAAGAATTTTGTGGGGAAGACAAACTTGCATTCATATATATTCCATTCAAACGCTATACTGTCAATTGCATGTACTCTGGTAACAGCTAGACAACGCATTGATGAGGCTTTTGTGTGTGAGTTCTTATACTGTGATATGAAAATAATACACCAACGGGCCGGTATTACTTCCGCTATACTTTCCCTGCACAGCTGGTTCTGCTGACAGTTCCTACCACACCACTCAGGCTATATGCTGCAGGCAGGACACTTCTCTTCTGGGAGGAGAGCAGAGGGGAGCTCCAGAAGAGAAGCCTGCCGGCGGCCATGAGAGCTGACGCTGTTTCTTTTCTCATTAAACATGTAACCGGAATGGAGGTTTGGAAGAATCTCTAAAATTGTACAGTATAACTGTTTCATTTTCTGTATCGTGGTAGTAAAATGGGTCCTTTTGAGACCCGTCCTTTGCGTCACTTTAAGAAAAAAACGGTTGTACGATGCGGTAGTTTCACAATTCTTAATGGTGAATAATGAAATGAAAAGTGCATTTGGGGTTCTGTGTAGATTGGGACAATTTAACATGGGGGTCCAATGGAAATTGAATCGCTATTAAAAGTGGTCGTTTGAGGAACTGCAGTTATTAGAACTTGCCTGTTGGACATAACCCTAATTAAAACTTGTAGCATTTAAATTGTACCTATAACGCTATCTATAGCAAATTGTAAATTGGCTTATTTGAGGAAATTGCACTTTCTTGTTTCTTGTTCTCCTGAGTTTGTACCCTATGGTTGAATGCACTTATTGTAAGTCGCTTTGCATAAAAGCGTCAGCTAAATGACATGTAATGTAATGTAATGTAAAACTCAGTATTCAGTTCATTAAACTTGTTGACATTTACAATTTGTTGAACTGGCTTAAAAACCTGAGCTGGAGTACCGACAACGTATACAATTAAGTTGATTGTATAAATCATTACAATAAGTTGACGTAAATAACAGAAATATGTTACTATGACTTATTGTTCGAACCTTGTGTTGGTCTGTGGTATATATTTTAGTAATATAGTAGATGTAGTAATACATCTACTTTACTGTAATATCTTTCTAGTACCCTTACCTTCCTGGACTTCATGTAAACTTGTATAGACCAGCACCTCTTCCACTGCAACATACAAACTGTGGACTATACAAAATATCCAAAAGTCCTTTGGTGATGAGACTTTTTGCTTGGAGCACAAGCCTTCATATCATATCGTGCAGCGCCTGCCTTGGGTGATTTGGGACGAGGGTGGGAGAGACGCAGCCACCAAAATAACTTTCTTGCCTCTTGATCTCCCCTCATGTCTGCGGACATTTTTCCCCATCTTTAGAAATGTTACTAAGACGCAAACATGTATCTCCATATTCACCTATGATGCAGACGTTTTTCACATCATTATCATTAGTTGTTTGGGGGGGGGTCTTTGTTTCTAATGGGTCATATAAAGCACGGTGTCAGTTTTATTCTACTACTTTTAATGTTCCGAGATTGCCGTAGCGGGTGGCCTCTGAACCAAAGCCAATTATTACCTCAACTTTCTTAATTAGTTTCTCGCACTATACGGTCTTCCATCTGCATGTCATTATACCGGCTTAGTCTGTCCAGTGGAAGAATGCAAGCACATGCAGCAAACACATACAGCGACATTAACTACCACTTAGCCTCAACCTTGGGAGGTGGTGAAGCTGAACTAATGGCGCTGAGCTGGTAGAGGGCAGTGTAGCAGCAGCGACCACCAAACCGACTGCAGGCGTTTTTTTCGTTCTCCGTTGCAGGGATGAATGCCCCCGTGCAGCACAGTTAATGTGACACTGCTGCTCACAGACTAATCTCATGGCATTGCATGCTGAATGAATCATTCAGACTTTAGTTTGTTTTGCAGTTTGAGAAACCAATCCAGAACCGTGGAACTGCATGTAGACGTCATTCTGTGTCATCTGTACCATACGGAAGTCTCCCCCTTTTGTCCTCATTTCTTTTGTGTGTGAGCTATCTGGGGGAATCCTACTGTGTAAAAAAATATATTTCATTGTATGTTAAAATTGCAAATCCAAATAAACCCTTTTTAGTAAAAATGATTTCTTTTCCTCTTCTGGTGATGAGATTGGCAGGAAGATGATCCAAAAAGTGAGACGAACGAGGCGGAAAAAAAAGGCCAATTGGATCATTTGCATTGAAAAAATAGTAATAGTAGTAATGTTTTAACATTACTCAACATATTGAAAAAATATTTTAAACTCAAAATAAGATTGTATCTTGGGGCCTTCAGGGATTTCAACTCTAATATGTTCAAAAACTGATGCTACCTTCTAGCGCCCTCTTTTGCTTCGTCTATCTACTGCTAACCTATCCTGAAAGTAACCCCTTAAACCTTCCCGGCCGTGACGTCACGTCACCTGGCACCCAAACGCCACGCGACCACACGTCCACGCGTGCCGCTCGGCATCTCACGCCGATGCTGGAAGCTGTCTCGTCGATGCACCGAGGCCCGGCTGGGTCGTGAATCCGCATTTCTGTCCACGAGAATTGCTCGACGAACGCGCAATCATTCTATATTTCAGCGCTCGCGAACGCACCTGTTGAGAGCGAGCGAGAGGAGGAGCGATGAG